GCGGGGTCGGAGCAGGGGCGTCCTCGGCAGTTCCCTAACTCTGTCCGGGCGGGGAGGCAGGCGCCCTACCCAAGCGGCAGAAAGTTGCGGGCGCCGAAGGGATGGCCACGCTGGAGGATTCAGGGTCCCCGTCCAAGGGCGAAGACCAGGGTGAGAGGAGGGACCTCCCGAGCCCTTGTGCGCGCTCGGGACTTTCCCTTTAAGGCACGTGGAGGGAGCCGCAGGCGCGCGCGCCTCCTCTCCGGGCGACCCCTTTCCTGGACCCGGGTTCTGGACAGGACTTTTCCCGCCAGGAGGTGGCCGTTGCTGGTCCCCGCGGCCTGACCTCCCTCCCCCGAGCTTACAGCCCCTCTCCTCCGAGGACCTGCGGGCGGGCGAGCTGACCTTCTGGCACGGGTGCTCACCGCACGGAGCATCCCGGCACCTCCAACCCGAGCCTCCTGAGGCGGGTGCGGGCGGGGGCCTGGCCGCGGCACCTCTCCAGGCTGCCCAGGACTCGAGCGCTTAGCTGCTCGCCTTCTCCGTCCTCCCGGTCGCCTAGGTGGGGGAAACTAGGGAACATTCTCAGGGAGAGCGGGAGACTTGCCCAAGGTCACCTAGCCCGGCAGAGGGCGACTTAGAACGGAGTCCCCTCCGGGTCCTGGCCCCCCACCCGGTGTCAGAGGTGGAGAGGGCAGCTTTCCTTCCCTCCAGCCTGGGCTGAGGGGAGGAGACCGTGACTTTCAACAGCACGCCCCCCCCACACACGTAAGGGACACAGTCTTTCCCAGGTGCTCTAAAGAAGGAGCCCAGGACAGAAAAGTGAGGGTCAGGAGGGGTTCCCACTTCTTTGCTGCTTGACACCCCCTCCCTGGGTACAGAAGTCTCTGGGAAACCACTTGCCATATGCTGGGATAACCCACTCCCTCAGCCTCCGCTGCCTTGCTACCTCTGAAGAAACTTTCTTCCAGAGCCTCCTGACACCCCCTCCCACTGCCACTGAAATGGATTTCTGCCGCAAAGCCAGGACTTTGGGTCCTCCCCTCCTCCTCCCACTGTGTGACCTTGAGAGAAGCGTGTCCTTTCTCTGTCAATTTTCTGGCCACAGAGTCCGTGGTCAAGAAAGAAAGTCGACCCTCCTGTTCCATCCCCTCCCACCAACTCCAATACACACGCCATGTTCACAACACCTTCCTCTCCCCAGCCCACTCCCACCCAGTCACCACCCAAAGCCTTCATGGGCACAAGAGTCTCGGGAGAACAAAAGTCTCTGGTTCTCAGGTGCTACCTCCACCATCAGCGAAAGGCGGCAGGGTGGGGGGCCAGCTTGAGAGAGGGAGATCCAGGTGTGAGCCCACCTTCCACCCCCAGCTGTGTGACCTTGGACGGAGCATCCTCTCCGTGGTCGCCCTCAGCCCTGCAACGGAGTCGCCTCCCTTCCATTCCCCACGACCTGCATGTGGGAGTCAGTCAACAAATGCCAAGACGCCCCACTCTCCCACCTTTCCCTACTGCCCCTTCCGAGTTATCATCTGACCCTGCTCTTCCTCCGACAGCTGCTGACTCCTTTGACCATAAAAAGTTCTTCCAAATGGTCGGCCTAAAGAAAAAGAGTGCAGATGACGTGAAGAAGGTGTTCCACATCCTGGATAAGGACAAGAGCGGCTTCATCGAGGAGGATGAGTTGGGGTGAGCCAAGGCCTGTGGGGGGTC